AAGATATCTGTGATATATACTTAAGATTGCCCAATTGCTTACATGGTTCCAGTCGATGCTCAGTTTTACTTCCAAGAATGAAATATTACATTCCATGTTATCACACTTTTATTCATGAAGTCACAGGTTTTTCTTTAAGAAATAAAGCAATTTTCAAAACAAACTACATGTGCACTGTCTTGAGATAACACAATCACCTAACTTTGATGTAGTACCATAAAAGAGATAATAAAATGGAGCAGAAGGCAAGGCGCTTTGAAGTATTTGTAAAATGAAACAATGTCCATGGCAACAATATCCCTGGTTCAATCAGCAACTAAGAAAGCAATCTCTGCAAAAGCAAGCATTTCTTTCTAGAGGTAGTCTAAATTACTTCTGAGTTCTTTGCAGGGGCAATCCAGATGACCTGTTGGTCTGGCAATTAAACCTCCGAACCTTTTCTGTCACTGTCGACTGCGTCTCGTGCCTTCTGCTCATAAAAATTAAAAAAAAAAGGCTGTATCGATTTCACCGCGATGCACTCGACACGTATCCGGAGGCAGCACGCTGGCTGTGCGACGAACTTCACAAGGTGTAGGAGCTGAAGAGAGTATGTAGCTTGTGGACGGCCATGACTGTGGAGCAGGAAGCGAAGTGTGCACTTTACAGCTTCCACGGGGAGGGCTTCACTGAGGGCAAGGATGTGACGGGGTCCTTGGTGGTCAGGACCTGAGTCGTGGTGGCGAGAGGCTCCCTGTCGCTGGCGGCGTCCGTGCTGGGCACCACCGCAGCGAGATCGCTGGGGGGCTCCCCGACGGTGTCCCTGGTGGTCGGGACTACCGTCGTGGCGGCGGACCCCTTGCGTGTGGCGCTCCGCACGGGCACGTCTGCGGCGGGTTCCGAACCGGGCGACAAGGCGCTGCCTCAGAGCCTTCCCCCTGTCCGAGAGGCCGACCGGAAGGCCGACCGGAGGGCCGGCAGGAGCCAGCCTCTCGGGAGCCGACGCTGACCTCTCCGAGCTCGGCTCAGAACCGTCCGAGCTCGGCTCAGACTCCAACTCTGACTCTTCAGGGTCGGACTCTGACTCCGGTTCTGGCTCGCTCGATGCAAGGCAGATGTTGTGGAGCACTGCACATGCCGAAATAATGGCGGTGGCTGTTGAAGGGTGGTAATACAGAGCCCGGTGCCTTTACAGACACCGGAATCTGTTTTTCAACAGCCCGATGCAGCGCTCCACAACAGACGTGATCGAGGAATGCGCCTTATTAAACCGGCCGCAAGCGGTGGAGGTCGCGTGGTTCCCGGAGACGGGGGTGATGAGCCAAGGCTCCAAGGGGTAGCCGCTGTCACCTGCACATGTAGAGGATGGAACATATTACATTCTTTACTTTTTAAAATAAAAGGCAAGAAAACAGCTGTGTGCAACTATGTCAATTATAATGTAACTTAAGTGTGTTAATATTTCTGCACTACAGTATCAGTTTACATTATGATTAATTAGCACCAGCTTGCCTGCAAACTCCCTGTTATTTCATGTAACTATGTGTTTTCCTGGTGGGTTGTGTGGGATGTGTGCACGATTCCTTAGGGGTGCTGTGTTGTATGCAAGTGCATTATTAGGCCCTTGCATCCGACAGATAAAAGCTCTGTTGCTTTTGGGAGTGTGGCCGTGATCTTATGCACGGGCAGAGCAGAACACGCTGGCCTTGTCTTTGGCAAGCAAGGGGATAAGGCGCCAGTTCGACGAACCTCTTTCCTAATCCTCAGTGGAGTTGGAGATGGGGAAAAAAAAGGGGGTGGTTAGATTGGAAAGGAGTCAGGTCCTGTTGGGACACGGAGGGTCTAATAGGAGGAGCCTTATAGGCAGACCGAAGAAGAAGGGTCAAGGAAAAGAATCCAGTGTGTGGGACAGAGACGACCCGACGACAGATTTGGCGAGCCCCAAGTGGCCAAGGAGGAATTGATCCCATTCCGTACAAACTGACGACCGTCAAAGCGACCAGGCGAGCCCCCAGGGATCAGCGAAAGAGCTCCAACTTCATGCAAAAACCAACCAGCAAGCGGGTACAGGCAGACAGTAACAGTGAGTGGGCCGAACCGGACAGCGACTCGCACTGCGGTCGCATTCCTTGCATAGTCTATCACTGTCGTGAGATTGGTGTAGTGTGGCTTTCGTAGCCTGCAGAGTGTGAGAGTTATGTGGACATAAACAGAGATTAATAGCCAAACTTTGGATGTTGTCTCACTTCAAGGAGTTCCAGCAACTGTGTCTGTGTGCCTCACAACAAGCACAGTACGTGTGGTACTGTGGCTTTCAAGCAGTGGGAGCCACCGTGTGCGTAAGGAATGAATTAATATGCTCACCTAGCAGGAACCGGCCGTCGCGTGGCACCTGCCCTTGCTCGAGTTGGTTTCGGAGCCAGGAAAATTGCCACACGAAGGAGTCGTGCACCGACCCGGGATACCGTGGGTCGATGCACATTATCCGGCAGTCGGCGTCACACACCTGAAAGTGAGAGAGATATTGACATGTAATTACCTGAATCCACAAGTAGTAGATTGTACTTATGGTTCACAAAGCAGTCGCAATTTCAGAACCTTTTAAGTTATTTTGTCTGACACATGCATGTCAACACACCTTCCTGGATGCAAGGTGCAACTAACTACCTTGAAACAAAAATGTGTTTTTTTTTTTTTACGGAAGCTTGCACGTTTTAACAGACAAATATTATTTTTGGGAGAAGAGTCTCACGGCTCACATGCTACGTAGAGCACACGCTCGCGCAGTCGTGAGACCCCACAGCCCGCAGTCATAAAACGGCATACTTAAACGGTATCGGCAATACGTTTTTTTTTTCTACAGATTTGGGGCGCGTTTTGACAACGTAACATGAGTGTACTTACCACCATCACGTTGAGGGCGTAGAAGTACTTGCGGCACCAGTACGCCGCCTTCGTGACGGTGGGGTCGTTCTTGGACGGGCCGACGATGGAGACCATGGTCCCGTCCACGCAACCGATGACGCCGGGTATCCTGCCGAGCAGCCTGAAGCCCTTCTCCGCGTCGAACCTCTCGCTCGGCGTCTCGGGGAAGTGGATCCAGCCACGCTGGACCCCGAGACGACGCACCATAGCGACGGACACGGCGCGGACCGCAACGCTGACTGTCTTTTGGTCCCGCGCTACGTGTCCGTCGCTCGCCACCATGCCTTGGAAGCTCCCCGTGCCGTAGAAGTGCAGTGCACACAACACTTGAAGCTCCACAGTCATGACCGTTCACGAGGTACGCACTCTCCTCACCTCCGGTTCCTCGCGAAGTTCGTCGCACAACCACCGCACCACGATCTTGGGCAGGCGGTATTGCTTCCAAAAGATCTCCTCCGCGAGCTCGAATGCATCGCGGTGTTCCCGATACAGCCTTTCTGGCGAAAAAAAAAGCTCTATTAAAGAAAAAGACGAATTGACGAGACGGCGACGCCTCGCCGCCGAACAGATGCTGCCAATGACACCTAGTTCCGAGCAAGTACCTTTTGAAACGTACTCGGTACAAAACGAAACGTCATTTTGTTGTCACGTCCGGTAGCCGACTCCGCCCAGTTTTGCCGACTCCGCCCACATTTTTCTAGGGAAATTACGTCACTTTTGTTTCCAACCAATCAGACGTGATGACGTCACTTCCGTGTACTAAAAACAGGTACATGTACAGCTGCAACGGAAAAAGAGTAGCACAAGTGACCGACGACCGGAGCGGCAAAATCGCGACACGCGGCGCTATTGTTCCCGAGCGCGCCGATAGCGAGAGTGCCAGTCACGTTCCATGTCTCAACGCGGGGGTGGCCGGCAGAAAATTGAGAGATAAGATAGCTGTTAAAATTAGGGCTTTAGGATGGGCTGTTTTTTGCCGTCCACTCCCCGCAATGAGACATGGAACGTGACTGGCACTCTCGCTATCGGCGCGCTCGGGAACAATAGCACCGCGTGTCGCGATTTTGCCGCTCCGGTCGTCGGTCACTTGTGCTACTCTTTTTCCGTTGCAGCTGTACAATGTCGAACCTAGCTATCCTGAGCTACTAGCTCGAGAAGCATTCGGGTAGTGGCCCGTGTCCAATCGCTGCAACGACGACAATAGCCGAGCCATAACAAGATCTGGAACTCAGCGCGTGCCCTGTGCTTTGCCAACCCCAGCGCGTAGCTATGATCATCAATGGCGGCATATAGTCGGCTCCAGATCACGTGGCCGTTTTTTCTATCTGCGAGTTGAGGGGGTGAACGCTGCTCGTTTTTCTTCAATTTTTTTCTGGGACTTCTATTGCGTGGGGTGAAATAACGAACGCGTGTTTCATAGGTTAGTAACTTCAGGGATCAGTTCTAAGCGCTATTTGCGCAAAGTACGACAATTGTTGCGTCGCCCCTTTAAACATCGTGACGTCAAATGACACTCCATTATCACATGATCTTCTAAAAGCTTGGGGAGAAGGAAGGCGTAGTTTCTCTTGTGACGACTTACGAATTGAAAAGAGATCTCCCTCTGGTTTTCAGCACAGGAGGAAAGTTGGTTTCCGAGGCAAGCTATTGGAGTCAAAGTACGACTCAGCCATGTCTGTCAAGAACACTCTCGAAGAGTCAAGAGTGTTCTTGGGCTATGTTGACTCCCTCAAAAAGTATTTGCTGGATGCCTTTGCGAACTCTTTCCAACTGTCACAACCCCAACAGCAGCGGTCTCGAATCGGTGATGTCTAAAAAAGGTGAATTAACTGCTCGAGATCAGCTGATCAATTTAAAATTGATGTCACGCTAACGCAGGATTTCACTAGCTTGCATGGGAACAACAACAGCAGACAATGCGGGGAGAACGGATAATCTCACTGCTACGGCAGCGACACTGTTCTGACCCCCACCGCAGATGCCCGCGCTCCCCGTGTGAAGGCCGCTCGAGTTCCCAAACTGACCCCATTATAGTAAAGTGGGTTTAAACATACCAACGTTCACAAAATAGTTGCTATGGGAAATTACGAACTCACCATAAATATTCTTCACTAATCGGGTACCAGATATTGTTACAATGTCCAACCTGGAATTGCGAAGGAGCAGTTGTCATTTCTCGTAAAGCTTCTTGCCTTACTGTGAGGCAGTCTTTTTAAGGTGAAAACCTTATATGTCCCATTACGAGAAAAGGCAGCGTCGGCGATGTGCCCGAAAGATGGCCATAAAAATACCTCATTAAGCACGCGCGCTCAAAGTCAAGGCGGACGCGCCTCAGAAATAAAATACGAAGAAAAGCACAGCAACGCAGATGCTTTGTCACGGAAGCCGTGGAGCCGGAGGGGGCACCGCGCCTGCGCAGTGGGGGAGCGTGATATCACCGCTGGAGCGCAGTGTGCAAAAGGAAGACGTGGCGCGCTGCCTCTGGCGCGTCAGCTGCGCTTCGGACTTCATCTGTGCTCGTTTTGTGCTTCGTGCGACGGACTGTGAGGCGACCGCGTCTACATCTATGGCCTTGACATCGGCAGCAGCGCCTACATCTAAGGCTGCACACCGAATACAATACCGACAGAAACAACTTAATTGCTTGTAGAAACTATTGATGGGCCGAACTTTTGACCAATCCTGGGATTCGGCAATGCCGAACTTTTGACAAACTTTACTAAAAATTTGGCAAAGATTCGGAAGAAATACATTATTACCAGACTTAACATTGATATTTAATTTTTGTTGCGAAAAAAGTTTTTTGTTTCGTAACTTGAATGCAACACGTAATGCATATTGACACAGTTATTACCAAATAAGGTGATATTCTACAAGATGAGTGTACCGGTGTCGTTTTTGTCTTTTACTGGCAATTTTAGTGACTGCTTGCACAAGTGGCATGACAACGATGCAACGCCTTGTTTCTGCACCGGAAGTCTTCGTGTGAAGGCAAAGCCGGAATCAGAGCTTTTTCCAGCTTAGGGACTCTGCTCTGAAGACGTCGTGCGAAGAGGAGCTGGGATGGACCGTACCCGCTGATGCCCGGCGTGTCCGGATACACAAGAAGAGCCATGTGCGGAATTTGTAACTTGAAGAACAATTCTTTCATAGTCCGTACCATATTTTCAACTTCCCCACTCGCTTGAGGATACCTGGGACTGCTTGTAGTATGCTGAAAACCGTAGCACGATAAAAAAAGCTACAAATACCCGCGAAGCGAGTTGGGGCCCATTATGAAAGACCACAACATCTGGGATGCCAAAGCGGGCGAACGAACTCTTCACCGCTGCAATGACGGCTGTGGACGATGTGGAGGTCACGCTCACCAGTGATGTCGATGACACCTTGGCAACAAGTCGATGCCGACTCGTTGCCAAGGGGTATTTGGCATGGGCATGCCCAGGAGTGGTTCAGAGCGCTGCACTCTGGTCTGCGCACACCGCTCCCATTCTGTGACGAGCTGCTCAATCTCACTGTTTACGGTGGGCCACCACATTGCGTCTCGAGCCCGTACCTTGCGGGACCCGATGCCTTGATGGCCTTCGTGGATGAGCTGGAGCATGTCCTTTCGAAGACCTTGTGGAATGATGATGCAGCGATCTTTCAGTAGTAGTCCGTCGCAGGCCATGATACTGGCACGCATCTTCCAGTAGTCACGGAGATGAATAGAAACCTTTTAGCTCTTCTCTGGCAAGACACTCTCGCACAGCCGAATCAACCCTGCGTAGACACCATCTTGAAGCTGATGTCGGCCAAGACTCTCTAGTCGTGGTGACGTGAAGTCTTCGAATCCTTTCACGACCTCACTGACAAAAAGTTCCACTGTATCGGCTTTGGGACCTTGGTGCTGCCTGGTTGCGGGTTCCAGCGGTACTCTAGAAAGGGAGTCCGCAGTTGCAAGAAGCTTGCCTGGGACGTAGAGCATCTGATACTGGTATCGCATGAGACGCATCCGCAGACGCTAAATACGTGGAGGGATCAGGTCTAGTTCAGCTGTACCCAAGAGTGTGAGGAGAGGGCTTTGGTAGGGCTTTTTATCGAACTTCATGCCTCGTACGAACTGGTCGAAGCATTCCACAACGCACGTCGCAGCCAAAGCTTCTTTTCTGCCTGGCTGTATCGCTGCTCCGTGGGCTCGAGAGATCCTGACACGTACGCTACAGCACGCCTTTCTCCCGTCGGTTGATCTTGCAGTAGCACTGCTCCAAGGCCGCAGGAGCTGGCATCGGCAGAAACCCTGATGGAGTACGAAGGATTGTACTTTGCCATGCAAACCTCCGAGCTGAGCATACTCTTCAGCTGGTCGAAGGCGGGCTGTTGACTAGCACCCCCGTACAACGCGCTAGACTTCTGCAGGAGTGCTCGGATCGGAGCGGTAACATCAGATATGCGTGGAAGAAAACGTTCGACGTGATTTGCCATTCCTAACAATCTTCGTACTCCACTGACATTTTTCGGAGCCTCCAAGTCTACCAAAACCTGGATTTTTTCTGGACCTTGGCTGATGCCTGTCGAACTGACCAAAAAACTCAGAAACTTGACCTTCTCGGTGGAGAAAGCGCACTTGGCTTTGTTGAACTACGCGCCGGCCGCTTCCAGATGATTCAGTACCTACTTGAGCCGCCTGTCGTGTTCTTCTTGCGTGCTACCGAAAACCGGGATGTCATCTATCATGCTGACAACTCCGTCTTGTCCTTCGAGTATGCGGCTCATCTGTCGCTGGAAATGCTCCGGACCTGAGCAGATTCCGAATGGAAGACGACTAAAGGAGAACCTCCCAAACGGCGTGGTAAAGGTTGTAAGCTCTTGGCTTTCTTTTGAAAGACTGACTTAGTGGAAACTGGCAATGGCATCAAGCTTCGAAAAGATCTTGGCTTGTCCAAGTCGTCTCACAATGTGCTCAACGGAAGGCAGAATGTGCCGCTCCGGAGCACAACTTCGTTTAGACGAGTAGCGTTGGGGAAGATGACAATGCCCGCCCACCAGTCAGTCGGGTTGTCCACCTTCCTGATGACACCATCGAATTCAGGCTTCTCGAGCTCTTTTCGGACAACGTCGTGAAGCTGTATGGAAATTCTCCTCGGCACGCTGAGTGAGAACGGTTGAGCACCAGGACGCAGTCGGATGACATAGTCTTCCTTGAGTTCTCCGTGGCAGTTGAATAAATCCCTTTCTAACATAATATCTGGGCCGGACACGTTGTCGAAGGACTTGACAACTCCCAAAGCTTGAATAGCCAGGAAGGCTAGAAAAGGAGGGTCTTGCGCTGGCAAGATGTAGACCTGCTCGAAAAAGGACTTGCCTTCCAGCGTAGGCTTACCTCGAAGGTGCGTTGAACTTGCAAAGAAGTGTTAACAGGCCCGTCCAACTCGCCGTCTACTTTCTGGGATTGTCGAAGAAGGCCTGGAATTAAGCTGGGTAGCACAGTTACCTCCGCGCCCAAGTCGACCTTGAAGTGGACCTCGTAGCCATGACGTTCACCGAGACGAACTTTGCTCGGCGACTTGATGCGACGGAGTGAAGTTAGATGGAGTTAGATGGGCTAGGCCACCTCACACATCGCTTGTCTAACAGGACACTCGGAGCGTTAATGGTTTCCTTTCCCGCGGAACCGGCAGCTCTTCGCGGTGGAAGTAGACGCGGACGATTCTTCTACTGTGCGAGGCTTGGGCTTGCAAGATGGATTTTTCCGTTGACCTCTCTTAACCTTCGCCTCGGCGACCACATGGGAGGAATCAGACCCGCGTCCTGGAAAACCGCGGTTCGGGCCTTTACGGCATCCTCGTGAATTCTCGCCGAAACGGCCTAGCATCAGACGGTCCTCCACTTCCGCGGATTAGTAGTGACATTTCTTCACCAGTGTACGAAGCGCAGTGTAGAAGGTGTCGACCGACGCACCAGGCTCTTGGACGCGATGGTGAAACCGAACGCTCTCGTAGACCTCGTTCAACAAATGAATGAAGAGGTCCTTAAGCTTCTGTTTGATGACTTCTATTGAGCTCCCGTCCGCGGGAGTCAGCGTGAGCGTATCGAGGACGCGGCATGCTTCCTGGGACCCCATGGCGTAGAGAAGTGTTCTCACTTGAACCTCGCCAGATGTTCGATGAAATCATGAGGCGTAGCTATAATCTTCGAATTGAAGCACCCATTGCTCCCAAGTGCTGGATTTTAGAAGTCGAAGTTCGGAAGAGGCGTTAGTCCCGTTACGCCGAAGGGCTGATCGACCAGTTCCGTGGCGGCGGCGAAGATAGCTTCAGCCTTTGTCATGGTTTGACTATGGCGTCCGGGTTACACGGCGGCTGCTGTCACATTCAACTTTTGACAGCATGTTGCGCGTAGCTCTCGGCTAGCCGCGCGTAACGTGGGAAGAAGCAACCGAACACCGGGAGGCTCAAAACACCAGAGACCTTTATGTCAGCCTAATAGCAACCCACACAAGCAATCGAATGTCCCCGCACGTGCCCCTGGCATGCGCTGCCTTCATTGACGCATGGCTTGTTGTCCTGCGTCAGGCAGCGTGAGCACGTGCGCTCGCTACACCGCTTATCGAAGTTTTTACTCTGTTTCTTCTTTACATTTATTGCTTTCACGCCATGCGCTTTGCGCCGCACGGCGGCGCAACGCGCAGGATTTAACTAGAGTGCCTTCATACACACGCGCGCTTTTGCTTGAGTGGTGACATCTCAGCCATTTTTCCGCCCATTCGTTTTTTTATGCATTTTGAAGTGGCGCACAATCCGGTGTCACTCAGCTCGAGCGTCTAGCTTTGGCTAATACATAGGCGCCATTTTGCCGCCCAAGTCACGCACCGAGTGCGCGAGAGCGTCACGCACTGGCACATTCAGGGGAACAATGGATGTCTTCACCCTGAGACAGACAGACATGTAGGCACCCTAGATTTAACATAAGCATTTGTATCACTTATCATCTGAGCGAAAAATGCTGAGTCACTGAGCAGTGGACGCACGCGCAGCGTCTGACAAGCCGCACAACGGGGCAACATTGTATGCTCAGGAGCGGTTCCACAACCCAGCAGAGAGAAAGTGCAGTGCGCAGAAGGCGATCTTTGCAAAGGTCTATATGTTTACCGCCGAATTCAGAAAC